CGCGTGATGGCCCCCACGGTCACGGGCGGTCCCGCTTTTTTGGCCGCACTGGGCAGGCGGCGATGAGGTGTCCCGGTGCTCCGCAGTACAGGCACGCCCCGGTGCGTATGCGGCGGGCCCGTTCTTCGGGGGCTAGACGGGCACGTCCCAGGTCCATGAGTTCGTCCGTTTTGCGGGTGGTGTAAGGATGAGAGTCCCCCATGCGGAGAGGTACCTGGGCTTCAACAGGTGGAGTGGTCGTTGCGTGGGACCGGGGGGCCGACTGCTGCCCTGCTCTTTCCTTGCGGAAAGAGCATTGCTGTTTGTCAATACGAATGGCCAAGTCTACCAGGGCGTGGAGAGAAGGGGGCTCGTCGCCAGTGTTCAACTCGGCTTTGATACTATCATTGAGGCCGTGCCAGAAGGCTGCGCGCAACGTGCAGTCCTCCCAGCCGGCCACTGTCGCCAGGAACTGGAGGTCGATGGAATAGTCCAAAACTCGACGAGCCCCCTGGCAGATGGTCATAAGGTCCCTGGCAGCTTGGCCCTGATGAGAAGCCGGTGAAAAAACAGTTTGTAATTCCTCCACAAATTCATGAATGGTGGTGCAGATGAGCATGCCACTGGTGTCTGCAGCCTCGGCCCAGTTGAGTGCTTAGCGTCGTAGTCAGTTGATCATGTAGCTTATCTTTTCTCTGTCTGAGCGGAAAGTCCGTGGCTGCTGATCGAACACCCGGCGGCACTGCAGCAGAAAACCTCGGCACTTCTCCACGCTGCCATCAAAAGTGTCTGGTTCTGGGATAGGTGGATCACAGCAGGGGCTGGCAGAACGGGGAGCTGACTGTGGATCTGGGGTGGCAGCGTGACCGTGCTGTGACAGGAGGAGTGAGGTGAGTTGGGCTACTTGCTGGGTCAAGGCGGATATGTCGTGTTGTTGCTGCTGCAGTGCCTGAGCCATTCTGTCCATCTGGGCAGTGATATGTGCAGGAGCAGGTGCCACTTGCACCGGAGCCAGCAGGGCCCATAGTGGCCAGTTCAATCTGTTAAAGCCGCTCGACAAACAGGTGAGCGAGCGGAGAAATGAGTGGACCCAGGCGGCTGGCTTCGGTGCAAGCAGTGCTTTATTTACAAGTGATGATACAAGAGAACTACTGTATATACACAACAGTATGGATATGGTGAGAGA